TATTGTTTGTTGACAGTTTTTCAGGCATTTTTTCAGAAGTAGTTTGGTAAAATAGGAGTAAATGTTGAGGTAAATGTAAGTGATCAGAATGACARGCTAACAGCTCAGACAGACACTGACCAGGTGACTAGAACCAAAACCTAAACATAAAGTTCCCTGATAAATGATACGCAGCAAAACTGCCGCGAGCTGAAGAAATCCACAACAGCACGTCTTCTCTCTCTGTTTCAGAGTTTCCCTGTCACGGTCTCTCTCGAGCGCACACACATTTGTGTGCTCGCCGTTTAGATTTACATACACACAAAGCCAGATCAGAGGACTAAACTGCCACCACATGGTTACCATTGTGAGGGCAGCAAATAAACAGCGTGGACCACAGAGAAATAAAACCCATCAGTGGACGGTAAGAGACAAATGAGAAAAAGATGTAAATGGAAACAGGATAAAAAAAACAGAACAAGTGTGCTTTTATGTTTTTCACCTGTACATGAGGTCCATGAGCATTTCAGGGTCTTGCTGGAACTCCCTCATCTTCACCGTATCTGACAAAATACTGTTGAGGTTTCTAAGAAGCTCATCCACCTGCGAACACAGACGTAAATAAAAAGGCAGCCGGCTGTGATAAAAAATCTTTCATATAAAAACAAACAAACAAAAAAAACGTGCTGCGTGTCTGCGTGTGTTAGATTGTAACCTGTGAGGGCAGCTGAGTGTTTTGCATCTCTGAATCCTCCTCTGCGTAGGCCAGGATGGTGCGCAGGGAGCGCCTCAAGTATTCCTCCTGGAAGTCGGACGATTTACCCACCAGGGAGGCCAGAGACATGGTGACCTGCATCTTGATTCTCGAGAAGTTCTGCGAAAAGCAGAATGCAATGGATTACGTGTGATTTATTTATGGATTCTCACAAGATATTCATACGTTTCCTATTGARGTTCTTCTTGCAGCCTGCAGGTAAGAGGTGCTATAAATTCAAGCAAAGAAGAACTTAGCTTGTAGCTTACTGGCACCTTTATATAGCTCACCTAAATTGTGCAGCAAGGAAARGATTCTTGTGTACAAAACAAAACATATGAATAATTAGGAACTAATAATTAGTTAATAATTAGCAGCTGATCAGAGATGATAAGGATTAAATCAGGACTGCATGTGTGCAAAACAGGAAGCTTTTGAGACACAATCTAGTCAAAATAGCAGCAATTGGACATCTTTTTCAAATCTCAAATACTTCTCTCTTCAGGATTCTCTATTTTCTCTTCAGGAAGCCTCCTCTGTGCTGAAAAGAAAAAAAAAGGAATCCAGGCGCCTTTGATTCGACTTGCTAAAATGACCATGTCCTGAACGACAATCTGCGCCATCGTGTGGAACGATGCATTGCGGCTCGTTACATGAAAGGCTGCACAGCTGCAGACCGGTCAGATCAGAACCGGACAAGGAAACCACAAAATAAAGGTGGTCTGGTCTGACAAATCGCCCGACCCGCTGAGTGCTTCATTTACCTATGCAGGAAACGGCAAAAGGATGCACTTCAGATGCACCACAGGAGACAATTGTTAGTCAATAAAAGRTGAAATTAAATAAACCCAAAGGAGGACTGTCTAACAGACAAACTGTGGTTATTAAATTCCAATCTGGCAGAATTTAGTGACATTTCTGTCTTTAAGCAAAAGAAATTAGCTGAAGCTTCAAAGAGCGAAAGACCCTTTTAAAAGAGATTAAATTGAAAAACATCAGCAGGGTGCTAAAATATAAATACGTTTAAGCTTTTTAATAGCCAACTAAAAACAATAACAACAAATATGGTCTTATTATTAAGGAATGGTGCTAAGAATGTGAAATAAACTTGAATAAAATGCGGTGTAATTGCAGTTTTTGCCTCCTCTGCTCTACCTGTTCAGTCAAATTGATCTGACCCCCCCCCCACACACACACACACACACGCACACACACACCTTCCATCTTCTTCTGCAGAGAGAGAGAGAAAGAGGACTGTGTAAATGGACGAGAGAAAATGTGCCCATGTACTTGTGAAGTCCCATCCATCTCCAGCATGACCAGCTAAGCGGGAAATGATCTCCCATTAGCAGAGACATAATCACCCATGGATCATCTCTACGGCCCCATTTTGCTCAACTGAGCATGGAGCCAGGGCCTAACCACCCATCACTGCCCTCGAACAGAGTGTGTGCACGTGTGTGTGTGTGTGTGCGTGTTGCAATAAAAAAAGCAGACTGAATGATAGCTTAAGTCAACACAAAACCTATTTTTTTTTTTGGCTTTTATTTCTTCTGGCCTACTTTTCCTCTCGGCTCTCCAGAGCAGATTTGCTTTTATCGGTGGACCAAAACTCTGGTATCATTTTATGTCTATAGTCTGAAATTTAGGCAAAAAATATTTTAAAAAAATACATAACAGGACGGAGCGTATGATTGTGGGCGTTTAGAGAGATGAAAACACAAACGAAAAGCAGAGTAAAGTGTTTGAATGAGTCATCCGGCTGCTACGCTAATTCAGATCACAGCTCCTTCTGTATACACTCTGTAAACAAACACACAGAGGGGGCACACTCCCCGTAAGATGGAGATTCTGTGTGTGTGTGTGTGTGTGTGTGTGTGTGTGTGTGTGTGTGTGTGTGTGTGTGNGTGTGTGTGTGTGTGTGTGTGTGTGTGTGTGTGTGTGTGTGTGTCTCAATGTGCTGCGCGGGATGAGCGTCTGACTTTCATTACAGCAAACAGATTGTAAACACAGGAAATATCGACTGCAACAGAAGTAATCAAAGCGGTGCATAAAATGAAAGAAGATACTCCATCTTATCCCTCCCCGCTCCGTTTAGATCTGTCTTTTCTCTGTCTCGTCTTTTTCATTTCCCTCCATCACCGCTTCACTTCCCCTACAAACGCTCCTCTATCTCCATCAGGATTCTCTCCTCTCCAGGCCCAGTTTTAACCCCCCCCCCCCCCTCAACTCCCTCGAGGCGCAAACGTTTCACTTTTACACGAAAACGCACGCACGCACACACACACGCACGCGTTCAGAGGGGGCTGGCTGTCATTAGTTAAAGAGGGACACGAAGACAGCGAGGCAGACAGTGACATATCTTTCTACTCTCTACTTAGAGACACATCTTTCAGCGGGAACTTTCTGCGGCGCGCTCGAAATAGACACGGAAAAGACATTAAAGCCGAGCAGGAGAGGACGAGCGAGTCCTCTCCTGCGAGTGAGTCCCAGCTTCAGGGAGTCTTCACGAGGACGCTCTGAACGCTCACCCATATTAAGTTTAATCACATGCAAACGCAATTTCCTTTAAAAGCGCCGGTGTTTTTTGAGAGCAACTTAACACTTGCCTGAATTATCTGTTTTTTATTTATTTTTTGCTTTTTCTGCACATGTAACTTTGAGGGGATCCTTCGTGTCACGTGGCGTTTGGGTTCGCTTACGCTGGCGTTACTGAAGCTGTATCTCATGATGAGGTAGAGGGTGGCGCAGGCCTGGCTCCTGTTCTCGTCGACGGGGCTGCTGCAGTACTGGAGCACCTTCTGGCACAGGTCGGCGCACTGCTCCGCCTCCTCCTCGAACAACAGGTCTCCGAACTGCACGCAGACAACGTCCATGAATGACTCTGGCTGGTGCCGGCGAATAGCGTTTATGCAAAAACGGACAAAAGTACCTTGATGACCAGCGCTCTCAGCGTGCTGAAGGTGTGCGAGAGGAAAGTGGTGCTCTGGTTGCAGGTGAGAGAGTGGAGTAGCACCTTCAYCACGCCGCCGACCACGCTGTCCTTGCAGTCAGCCAGAGGCACAGCCTGTGTGCGAGACAGATGGAAAGTATGCTAATTAAAAACAAAATGCAAATGCTAACCCCTGGGGATTAACTAATAAAATGCAAAAAATAAATAAATAAATAAATAAACCCTGAACGTATGCAACAAAGGATGCGTTAATAAGGAGAAAACTCAAGCTGGGAGGGATTCACAGCGTGGGCAGTGCAGTAATCCATCTTTCTTTATTGTGTTTGCTGAGTCAGCAGTCACACCTTTGTTTTCATGTTTTACATATTTCTACATGTCTGTTTCAATCTGTAGAGTAGTAAAAATTACCACTAAATAAAATTACATGTTTTGTTATTACATTACTTAATAAAATGATTCTCTAAGATGGAAAACTTTGTACAATACAAAATAGAAAAACCTGTAACATACATACAAACATAATCGACATGTATTAATATTCTTTATACTAAAAATCTGATTATCAGTTATACAACTACTCACTATTTTCTACGTTATTCATTTATAGACATCTGATGATGCAATAATTCGGGACAAGTTAATAAAAAGAGGATTTCCTGACCTGTATGATYGTCTCCAGCAGGTCAAGTACTATGAGGTTTGTCTCTGTGGCTAAGTTCCCACTGATCAGAGCCTCTTGGTCCAACTCTGATTTAGATCTGTTTAAATGTGAGGAATGGTTAGAAATAAGTTTTTTTTTTCAAGCACAACCAACAGGAAGCCAGGCAGGAGATTATGAATGAAGTAAAATCAGACATCCAACATACTTATCCTGTCTGTCGTTAGTTTGTCTCCACTGAGTGCGGTCTTTCCTCCAGCGCAGGTTCTCTCTTTGACCCATAGATCTATCCGTTCCTGAGGGGGAAAAGAATCATCATTAAAAAAAAATGAATAAATAAATAAAGCAGACAGTGAAGAAACCATTCTGTGGTTTTACTGGACTGTGAACTACTGTTTACTGTAATGCCTGCAAGACTTGATTAAAATTCATAGTGGTTCATGAGATATTTTGCAAACACAAATCCTCAGTTATTACAATGTGGCCTGCCTTTTAGCAGTGGCCATTATAGCACAAGAAAAAAAATATTTACCTCCAACTCGTTTCATCATTTCTCCGCGGGCTCCCATCCCTCGCAGCAGGGCTTCTTCTAGCTGCAGTTTGACCTGCTGCGATTTCTGTAAGGCCTGAGTGCTCACTTTGTCACTGCTCTGCTTCCCCTGCAAAGTCACAGAAACACACACAAACRGCCGGAGTGCACACAGTTTGAATAATGTTCTGCAGAAACACACAGGCAAACGCAGACAGCGACGGATTCCAGCTCTATAAAACTTTCTATTTGCGAGCGTAAATGGTAAAAACATTGGGCCTCATGCAAGAACCGTTCGTACGCACAGATTTGTTCTTAAGTTGTGCGTACGAGTGATTTAGGAGAATTTGTGGCATTCACCAATGTTTTCGTATTCTAAGATTTTTTTCAGATACGAACAAAATTRACGAGTGGTCCAGACCTGTCMTATATTTTACGAGCAGTCAGTCTGCTGTTATCCAGACGGATTTTCTTTATTAATAACTTTATATTTCGTTAGTTTGAAGATATTTTGAGTTGAAAATAAATTACACTCCATAATTATGTTGACAATAGGCTATTCTGCTTGAATTAGAGTTATAATTTTAAATGTAATAAATTAGACTAACAAAATAAATTGTCCGTCCGGCCGGCTTATCTGGGATCGGGTGCGGCAGGGGGGCAGCAGGAGACCCCGCGCTCTCCAGAGTCACTTTCCAGCTCGTCCTGGGGGACTCCGAGACGTTCCCAGGTCAGAGGTGATCCACCATCCCTCCAGCGAGTCCTGGATTTTCTCCAAAGTGCCAGACTTATTTAGAAAACATTTTAAAATGCTTATTTCAAACCCGCATCTGAGACCACCGCAGCGCGCGCGGGGGGTGGGGGGGTGCAGGGTGCGCAGCGCTGCGGCTTCTGAATAAATGAAAATAATTTAACACAGTTGTTTATACATTTAGCAGGTCTTTTTTATCCCACAGCTGAGCTGCTAAAAATGACAGATTTTCTTTTCTGGATCTCTGACAGACYGACTTCAATCTCTGAACTCGTAAAGTTTTTTTTAGTTTTCGCTGTCATTTTCATGAATGAACACTTCCTTGTATCTGAGGCAGGAAACACAGCCATAAATGGTGTTTTGGGGGTGGTAATTATGTTAATCTCCTCTCGCGTGCACGAGCAGCTGGATAGAACAGGTGTAATTTACGCAGCTCATTTACGCACMTTTCCTGAAGATAGAAGAGTTTGTTGAATCTGACGTGACATGTTCGTACGAACCCTTTGTACGAACAAAAGTAAGAGAAATTTAGGATAAGAATACGAACATGTTCTTGCATGAGGCCCAATGGATGTAAATGCACAAAGACGGAAAACTGACCCTGTACTCAAAGCAGGAGATGCAGATGGTGAGGAGCTCCAGCAGTTTGTTGAGCTGCGATGAAGGCATGTCCACGGTCCAGCGTTGGATCAGGGTCCGGTCAGCGTTCTTCATCACCCACAGGAAACACACCAACAGGTGGCGGCTCGTGTCGGCCGCCAGGGTGGCTACGGATTTCACCTGCTGGGATGAACACAGGACATTACAGAACATTTAATAAGRTAAGTTAGGTAAATACAGCGGGTAAAATAAGTATTGAACACGTCACCATTGAAGTTCAGGAGTTTTTGTGTCGGCCATCTTGAATTGGGCTTACTTCACTAGTTAATCAGTTGRGGATGTTCATCCAGGGTTTGTTTTCTCATAGTTTTATTAAAATTTGTTCAGTGGTTCYTGCCAACAGTTCTGACAAACAKTTACGCAAGCGTGAGCTCACACACAGGCATAATATCTGCCTTCGCCTCTGGCTGCGGGTGATAATCATAAGTGGCAAACACAAAGATTTCAGTAAGTGTAGGGGGTAATTTTCTCTCTGTGTAGATCCCATTTAGTAATTAACCCTTACCAAACCTCATCCATAACGCTGTCACTCCTCCTGCGTTGAGTGAGTGGATCTAATAGTAGATCACTCACAAGCGTCTTCAAACGTGATGATCGGTCGGGTCTTCCACGCGGGCTTTAAGCYGAGTGTGGCTTTCCTCCACGTCTCAGCGGGCGTTTAATCTAGTGCAGATTAATTTACCTTTATTCATGCCGTGATGAATCGCTGCTCCAGAGGAGCTGCCGCCGCTTCGTTGTGTGGCACTTTTGATAAATGTAGCCATTAAACTCCAACCYCTGTAGGTGTCCCACCAACAACCTGCTTTCCAGGGCCTGGACTCAAGCTCACCAYAATCCGATGGTAAAAAAATAAAAAGTGAAAATCATAGCGTGTGAACTGAAACGTCACTTGTTCATTTGAAAATAAGCATCAAGTGGAAAAATAAAAAAAAAGAGGACGAATTCTTCCCGAAACGAGTAAATGATTTATAACGATTCTGTCTGAGGGTGAACSGCCTGTGAATGAGGAACAAGTGCTCTGGTTTGGGTTCCTGATGAACACCAGACTCACGTGAAAACCGCTTTTTCCACAATAGTGTTTCTTGCGACAACGTACGAGGAACCGATTCCCGTCTTTGGAGGGAAACGGAGGCAGGAGGAGGAGAACGGCGGCGGCGGTGGATTTGCTTCCTTGTGTTGTTGCTGTAACAGCACTTGATGGATGWGTTTGTCAGAGAGGACGGCCCTGTTCACTTATGATGGCAATGCCTGCCCATAAACCATCTCCCACAGATATGTGTGTGAGAGAGAGGTTTTTTTTTTTCAGGATGGATGAAGTGCGTGTGTGGCTCTGACAGCTAATCAATCAGCATCTGTGCCGCTCACCTGTTGGGAAGAGAAACACTCGCCGACACAATCTCAAACACGAGCACTCCATGCACRTCTGAACTTTTGACAAACCTTTGAATTCTCTTCTCTTTGGAATTAAAAAAGATATATAAGAATCTGTACTTTACCAAAGAGGCCATGGAGACGAGAACGTTCCGACCCAGCGTGTTAAAGGGGTTCCCGGCAATCGCCATGGCAACAGACTGATTGATGGGTGGGACGTTTTCAAGGTCGTCCTCGGGTTCGCCCGTCTTGTTTTTCCCGCCCCGCGAGTCGCACACTGAGGAGACAAGAAGCACGTTAGATGGGAGCGGAGAGGAGCTGTGGTGGTGGGCTCCAGTGTGACCCAGCTGTGCCTTAATTAGAGGTAAAACAGACATAAAAAAAATTCAGCATTAACAKGTTCATGCCAAGGTGGAGGAAGATGGATGGCTGTAGTTAGATACAAAAACAGAGTTACCTGATGGACGATAATTGCTGATTAGAGGCAACTCGTTAACCTTTGTCCTTGTTAAAGCTCATTAGGAGCAAATTCCACAGGATCTATATCATTGTGGCTTGGTTTGGTTTGGCGCAGGGATGGGCAACTTCAATGATGGAAAGGGGGCGCAGTTTTTTGTTGACACTACCAGAGGGCCACAAAGCGCTACACATGGACATTTTATTAAAGGCATGTAAAATCAGTGGTGGGTCTAGGATTTGTCTGAGTAAGGGGTCATCAAGGGGCCACTACAACCACAGAGGGGCCAAGTGTTTGTTCAACATACTTCTTTAAACACCTATAACCTGTCATTTTTACCAATTCTACATACATTTTCACTGTACATAGATAAAAACGCAGCATTGTTTGTCAGCTGAAAGACTTTTTCTGCAGGATGTTCAGATTTTCTTAAGAAGAGAAGAATTCTGTGAGCTTGATTCATGCCGGGGTTGTACGATATTCAGTTCCGCTGTGAAAATCTGTTTCCCCTGTGTTGCAAGCGCATCCGAAGCGCCTCCCTCARAGGACTGSTCTGACGTTATGCCTGGACCAGTGATTCTCTCTAAGGTTAACCACTAGGGGGAACAGATTTTCGCAGGGGAACTGAAATTCGCARAACACCGGACCTTCCATTTTGACTCATTAGCACCTCTAGTGTTTGGACATGGAACTGCATCCACCATCATCAAAAGGACAGATGAGTGAAAGGACAGGGGCACTTCAGGGGCCAGTCAGAGRTTAGCTGGGGCCAATGTCCCTGTGGCCCCACCCCTAGAACCGCCCCTGTGTAAAATCAACTTTTTTGAGTMTTATATCATGTTATAATGTTATCCTCTCATCAAAAACATGCCCYGAGTCTTGCTTTGACTCATTCATGCATGTTTGAGAAATCCTGTGGTGTCCCGTGGCAGCCAGGCAGAGGAGCAAAAACGACTGGTTGGGACTAGAACCACATTTTGGGCTCTGTCTCCGAACCGAGCTTCTTCATCACAGAGCAATAATCTTACCAGCTGTCCTCTCTGTAATCGCTCCGGTTCTTCAGAAAACGTATTTTCCGGTCCGACAGTAAGGTTCATATGTATCCTGAGGTGCAATGTTCCAAAACCGATCTTGTATAATGTTGTTGTTGTTTTTTTAATGGTCATTATAACAAAGCATGCTGCGACGCTCCAGGTTGTAAACAAGAGAGAAGCYGCTGTGATGACGTGCTGAAATGGGCGTGACGGGATCAGAAGGAGGTTCTTAAYGAGACGGAGGCCAATTGCAAGGTGTTTAGAAATGGAAATGAAGGAGAAGTCAAGTTTATTTTTGATTTAAACATAAAAACAGCATTTTAATAACTACTGAAGATAGCAATTACTTTATTATGGTATAGAATTTCAATATATGCCTGAGAAACACATTATATTGCCCCTTTAATGTTTGTATATGTACGTTTATTAAACCAACAAACAGTGCAGTAACTTAAAAAAAATCATGCTCACATTAATGTACAACAGTTGTGCTTTTGGCCTACAACATAAATAACAATATACAACAATAACATAAATATGAATGCAAAAAAATAGTATCTAATTAAAATAAAAGTAATAAGCTGAAGCACAACAAATAAGACACCTTGAATGCAGTTTCCTGAATGGTTGTGGTAAAAAGTCGCTGTTGTTTATGTTCTTGTGACTTCAGTAAACTTCTCATATTTAGCTTTGTGCAGCGTGTTGTAGTGGTGACTTGTATAAAAATCCTTCATGGCAACCAGTGTCTTTTAGCAGAGTAAACACATAGGRTTGCTTTGAAATTCTGTGAAGCTTTCAATATTTATATAATCTAAGCTACATGTGCTTTTTAAGAAAAAAATAGGAGCTGGTGGGGCTGGACGGAAATCCCCCACGGGCCGGATAAGGCCTGTGGGCCAGCAGTTGCCCATTCCTGGTTTAGAGTCTTCAGACTCAAAACCCTCAGATATTTTACTTTAAGATATGTTGAGTCTGTCAACGTTACTGAATGTTAAAAAAAAGATAGGAAACTAAATCTGTGTACTGTWTGTGTGTTCGCCCTTACCTGTGAAATCCAGGTAGTTGGTAGATTCTATAATGATCCCCACTAGGGGGAGGTAGAGACCAGCCACCTTGGCTCTGACCTCAGGTTTTTCACAGCGCTGATCCAGATCATGAGAGCACAGCAGGCTGTAAATTGCATTGATGGCCTTTCTTTGTACTTTTCCCCTGCAAACACATTAAAACATTTCCACTGCCTGATTAAATCAGACAAATAAAATTATGTCCAATTATGACACTTTTCTCTCAGAACATACTGTACGTATTTTTTAAGCTTTCAGAAAACTCCAAATGCAATGATAAGTAGCAGGCGTTAACAGGGAATATWTTTTGACAGCATCTGTGCCGTCGTACCCCTCTGACTCCATGTCGAGCGCGACGCTGAGCTCTGTGAGGAGCAGACCGGCGAGGTAATGCTGTTGCTTAAATTCCTGAGAGAGATCAAACAGCGCCAGGATCCTCTGCTGCTCCTGGAAACTACACGAACCGGAACTCTGCACAGAAAGATGAAACGATGGAGACAGACAATGAGACGAGCAAAAGGAAAACTAAATGAATAAATACATCACAGGCTGCCCAAAAACAAAAATCTCCCTCAAACTCCTGCAGTTCTCTTCTCTTTTGTTGGGAAACGACAGTTGAAGCCGTTTTGCTCAAACTCTGAGAATTATTTGTGATCTCACGCAATATTGTGAGATGTYCAAGCTAGGTTTGATTAGCTGTGGCAGCCATCTTGAACTGAGCTGACTTCAAAAGTTAATCGTTTGTAGTTGAACATCTAATTATCACTTTCTGAAATCTTAATTAAAATTTACCCAGTAGTTTATTGGATATTTTGCTAACAGAAAAACAGGGTCGACACAAACCGACAAAACTGAATGTTTGAGCAGCATGTCTTGCGAAAAGCTCTTAGCGGCAACCAAATTTTAGTAGAACATTTTGAAAATGGACCGACACGTAGACATTTTTACGTTGGCTGTGGCGGCCATCTTGAATTGGGTCGGCTCTAAAATACAATCAGTTGTATTTATACACCGGATGGTTATTACCTGATCGTTTCATTAAAATCCGTCCAGTAGTTCAGGAGATATTTTGGTAACCACACACACACACACACACACACACACACACACACACACACACACACACACAAGCAGGAACACAATCCTCCTTCGCCTTTTGGGAGGGGGATCAAACTTTCCGCTGGCTGTGAGGACGGCCCACCTGCGAGGAGATGGACGGGCACGGCGATGCGGGAGCTGAGGCAGGGCTGCTGAAGTACAGGCACAGGTTGAGGTAGTGCTCYTGGCTGCAGAGGATTCGCAGGAACTCCAAACGCATGCTGATCAACATCGGCATGGCTACACTCTTTGCTGACATCTATTTAAAAAAAATTTAAAAGTTAAAAAAAATATTTACACATTGCACGTTGCTTCAAAATCAAGACAGGTGTGTTTTAATAACGCTAAAAGCTGCTTTAAGTTTAAAATCATACCTGGTTCCAGTAGTTTCTCACTAGCTGGAAGACGAAGCCTCGGTCCATGAGAGACAACAGGTCGTACAGGAAGAAGGCCAGGCTGATGTTGACTTTCTCTGCTTGCTCTACCTCCTGAAACAAAACAAGTCAACAATCAGACTGGATCTCACCGAGCGTCTGGCTGAGCTTCGTCTGGACGCAGACGACGAGTACGCCCGGGCCGCGACTGCCTCCCATCCAGCCCGGGAGAAGAGAAAAAGGGGGCGGCATCAAAGACTCGTCTTCACCTCCTACCTTGTGCTGCTTGATGAGGATGGTGCAGACCTCGGCCGTGACCACCGAGACGATGGTGCCGATGTCGCCTTTGAATCTGTCGGAGAAGCGGCTCCGTCGGGGCACGCTGTGCTTGTCCAGCTGGGACACGTGCTGTGCCATGCTTTTCACCTGTTTACCACGTCCGGCGGGAAACAAAAAAAAAAAGGATCACAAAGCGTAAAAATTACAGGAGACAGCAGCAAAGCTAACTTGACATCCAAATTATAAATGAGTTTGCTTTAAATAACTGTGTACAAGCTACAGTAATGTTTTTTATATAAGTGGATTTGTTTTTAATCAACTAACCCATTCAGCATTAATATCAATGGCAACTATCAAAAAAAGGTATTAAGAATAAACAAAAGAAAAACACGCACCAACAGCTCAAAGAAGAACCAGGCGTATTTATAAGCATTTTCTCTGCAGACACCGGTGCTGACGACCATCTGCAGGGCCAGCTCCTCGTGAAACTGCTGCAAGAGAGAAAATGAGCAAAACTGCATAAATACTGTCTTCAAAATATACAGCACAAGACCACTTACATGAACTGGATGTCACCTGCATTCATTCTAAAAATCAGGATGTTGACTGAAAACTGATCCATCAGAGGGTTAGACTGCCACCTTGTGGCTGCTGGAGGAAAGTGGAGGCTGAGCTGTTTCTGTTTGAGCTGCAGAACCGGGATGTTTAAAGTCTGAGTGCTCTCTAACACTAAACATTTAAAAGGTTTTGTTCCACATCATGTGTTCCATTAATAATAATAAAAAAAACTTTCTGTTCTTCTTTAAAATCTACTTTAACTTAATAACTAAAGAACATTAAGTTGCAACCAAACAGATTTTTTTTTTTTTTGTCGCATCGGCATGTTAAACTGAACGTTCAACTCTTAGATCGGGTTATTATTTGTTTACTTTTGCAGCTGCAAGACAACAAATTGTGTAAAAATATTTCAATTAATGAGTTTGAACGTGCTTTCCAATTGTGAAGAGGAAAAACATGACTGCTGAAAAGAAAATAAACTGCCGAAATACACAATAACTAAGTGCAGCTAAAAATGATCTGGTTTTTTTTTTAGAAACGAAAAACTTTCAACAYATCTCAGTTTATTAAAACAATAAATGTGGTCAAGCTAAGAAGAAAACTTAAACAATATGGAAAATTTTAAAATGGCCAGATTTCTGAGTTTTAGGAACAAAAAGACATGGTTTCAATTTTCTCAATCTTATTGTCTGAAAAAATAAATGATAAACAATCTTTATATGCTGTAATTCAGGGCAATGTTATCAAGAAAAGAAATGACCACTAACGTTATTTACCTCCTCTCTGTCGCAAAATTTCTAGATTCTCTCATGAGAAAAATGCCGCAAAAAAGTTCAATAAATAGGGAAAAAATAAATATAAATAATAAAAACTGTTCATATTTTCAACAGTGAAATTTTCTATAAAATAAACAAAGTCTCATTGAAGTTGTAAAACATAAAGTGCCGGAGAGACCAGTACCTTCCTGTTGGAGGGTCGGGTGCTTCCCGTCTGGTTCTGATGGTTGTTGACGTCCACATAGGTGGACATGCGGCTGCCTGGGTTGTTGTGGCCCTGCAGACAGAACAGTTCATTCATAAAAGCAGGTACATCTAGAAAAGGATTCAGATCCAGTTAGGTCCGACTCACGCGTACCTTTGCAGAGAGAATGTTTTTGACTTCCACATCTTCAGCAGACAGTTGCTGAGCGGGGATGTCGGGGTTGCTGCTGCTGCGCACCCTGGACTGCAGGAGCATGCTCCCGACCACGGTCGCTGTGGCCCGACCCATGGTGCTGTAGCGACTCTCCGACGAGGGCAGGGAACTCATCGGGCCTGGAGYTGCGTTCAGGGAAAAAAACAAAATAAATTTAAAAAAATGTAAATCTGACAGGCAAGCATGTGGCTGAAARGGACAGATGACCGTGCCGGCACCTGCACTCTGCATGTCTCCGTGAGGTTCAGGGAGGCGGAACACCCAGTACAGGTAAGACGCCAGGAGGCTGTTCCTGCCCAGCTGGTCCCTGACCAGCTCCTGGCTGTTGTGAAGACTGTTAACAATAGACACCACTGATTCAAAGGCTATCTGAGCCAGGTTGGCTAAAGAAAAGGAAACACAAGTAGAAACAAAAACCGTTAGAACACTGACTTAAAATAAATGAGCAACCATCAGTGGTGGGCAGCGCTAATCCAAAAATTAGCTACGCAATTTCTAAAGTGCTGATGACAATATTTAGGTCCGCAACTTCAAAAGCAATAATGCCATAGAGAAATATAGAGGAAGCTAATTTTAAAGCGCACGTTCAATTTGACACATACTAGCTGGCAACAGTTCATGTACAATATTTGCACAACACTGCCAACTAGCGGTGTATGAACTCTTTTACAACTTAATTCTACATCTGCCGATTGCTGGGGATGTGATTTCCTGAAACAGACCTTTAGCTCCTGGTGTAAAAATTAAAAAGTTGTTGAGGATTGCTGGTTCGGCCGCTTCTTTGTCTCTTTTTCTTTTGTTTGTTATAGTTTTTTCATTAAAGAAGCATCAATAAAGCAAATTTAAAACTGTTTATTGAAAAACTGATGCGATGCATTCTGGGTACATGACGGATTTGATTTGTGACGGGAAAGCACGGAGTACAACAAACTATCTTCCCTTCAAAATAAGAGCTTGGATTTTAAAGTTTTCCATGCAGTTGCTCCGGTTGACCACTAAATGTCAGTCTTCATCAGCATAACAGCTTTAAATCATTTCTGAGTCTCTAACCCATTGCTTCGACCAATTACTGTAAGTCAAGTATTGAGCTCCAGCGTTTAAACTTTATTTTTTATTTTTTTAAAAGGGAGCTCCAATTGTAAAGGACAATAAAACAATACATAAAAAAGTTTAGTATGGATTACAAACGTTAACTGTTTTTGTTATTGCCTTCCTGCTACTTAAGCAAACACAAAGCATTGTGGGAAATGAGAACCGTGACCCAGAGCAACAGTCTGCAAGGATGTATACCTTTCCAATAAGTGTGTTTATCTGGGAGGGATGCTGTAGGATAGATCACGTGTTGTGATTCATTGACAGCATACATTCTGCTGTTCAAGATAATGATGGCAGGTAGATAAATAGTTATTAGCGGTACTGCATTTTAATTTTAGAAAGCGCAAATCCGCTTATGAATTATAAAAATCAGTAAGACCGCTACAGCGCAAACAAAATATTTAAGTCCACAATTAGCGGATTTGTGCTTCAGCGGGCTTGTGCCCACCACTGACAAGCATAAATTTAAGATAACTCCTCACCAGTCTGACCAGCAATAACCATGGGCTGCATGATGAGAGTCAGGAGTTTATCCAGCACCAGGTGGAGAAAGAGGACCAGAGGCTCTAATCGAGCAGAGGCCAGTGAAATGATGCTGAGCTTCAGCTCGTGCTCCAGCTTGTTCTCAGGAATCTTCTCYTCCCTGAAGCGCAGAGGGAACGTAACGCAGCCTTCCAGAGCGTGGCACAGGGTGAAGAACCGCTCCAGGTGGTTGTCCTGGAGCAGCAGAGGAACGCTTTGTTACAGAGCAGAACTTCCTAAATGACTCACAAAGAAAACCAGCATCAGAGGAAAAATAAAGCATGTAGCACCTCAGGGTGAAGCTGGAGAAAAGACAAGAATAAAAAACTTTGAAAATTTAGTCTGGGGAAAAAATGTATAAATTTGCCTCATAAAACCAGAAAAAAATCAAATTAGAGAATTTGTAGTTTCTGTATAAARGCAGTGTGACTGCTGAGAGCTGAATGACTGCTAAAGAAGCTGAAACTAGCTAAGTAGAACACTAGCTAAAAGCTAAAGGTGGTAAAATGCTAGCTAAAAACAGCAAAAGGTAAACTCAAATGTGAAAGTAGCATAKYGCTAGCTAAAAAGTAAATAAGGGGAAAAGGTGACTAATAGCAAAAAGTAGCCAGAGCTAACATCTTTTATTAACYCTTTATACATTTAAAGACAATTTCAAAGTGCTATAAAAGAAAAAGTAAGTAAAAATAGCAAAATGCTCCCTAAAGGTATTTTGTTTTTATCAAGCCTAGCACCTACTCAGCATCATGTTATGACCACATGATAAAAGGTTAATATGTTTAGCTAAAAGGGTAGCTAAAAGTAGCAAAATGTTAGCAAAAAGCTYAAAGTAGCAAAAGGCTGGCTAAAACTTTCAATTAGCAGAACGGTAGCTAAAATCCAAAGCTATATAAAAAGACAAAAATTAGCTTTAAGGCCAKGTTTCCAGCCATAATTCACCTGAATGTGAACAGACGACACCGCCTGAACCTCCAGGTTAAWAAGTCCTTTGTGACTCTCCATCCACTTGACTGGAGGCGCCTGAGYAGGAAGTTTCTACAAGAAATGAGACAAAAATGTTTTTATTTAATGGAATAAACCTTTTTCACGTCAAAACATCTTTTTTTTAAATGAATCGTATTTTCTCATCCATGCAGAAATGTGTTTGCATGTTCACCTCTGGGGCGTGCAATGAGTAGTTAACAGGAAGTCTCTCCAAGACGATGGGCAGACAGTACTGACCCATCTGCAGGCGGTCAGTGTTCAGTATGGGCAGCCACTGGATAAAAAAAAAACAAAACAAAACAAAAAAAAAAACAAAGAGCAATTTCAGAAAAGTATGAAAACATTGACTTCAGACACAAAACACAGTTGCAAAGTTGAAAAAGCKTCTCACAGAATATCCGATGAGAGTCTCGCAGCTGCCGCTCTGGTTCTGTTTCTGCTGGCAGCTGATCTGGTAAAAAGTGAACAGCAGGTGGTGCCTCTCCGTCAGACGGGCCGGAAGAGCAAGTTTCACTTCCTCATAGAAGTCTGGAGACCTGAGAGGAGAGACCAAAAAGGATTTAAAAGAAGGAAGCAAAGTAAACCCAAAGAAAGAGGACGAGGATGAACGAAGACGGGAAGTGAGTTCAGTTTTTAAATGAGAAAAAAAAACATTACAAACAACTGAATCAAAAATTTCGGATGCTGCTTAGAAAAGGACAAATTCATACGATTTGAAATGTTTTTCAACMTCATTTCTTATAAATTGCAATTGTCATTTTTAAATTTACGTATTAGAAAACCCAGAGCATGTGTGAAATGGTGTATACTTGCTTGTTATGGTAGGTAACAGGGGTGTAAACTTCTTGTAAAAACTCAGGACCGCTTGATTTACCAAAAATGACCTGAGAAGAAACAGAAACGTAATAACAATAATAAAAAAAATCTCACACAGTTAATAAACATCAGCTGCGTGGACTGATGGTGGTAATATTATTATAATATTATTGAGGCGAAGAAAGACCAATAAAACCAACAATTAAATCAGTTAAGTCAGCTTTTCTGTAATAAATGTCAAACAGCAGTTTAACTGTTACTCACAGGCAGAGCGCAGCTCGGGTCCTCTCCGCTCATGAACTGGATTTTGATGGTGATGTTTCTTGCTGATGTAAGCCTGTTCACAAAGTTCAGCCTCTGGGGGTAGACGAAGAGCAGGTTCCTTCACAGACATGGAGGAGAAACTTCATTAATACATCAATGAAAGCAGGCAGCTCAAACACTTGGCACTAGATGGCGCCATCTCTACAGCAATATAATAGAGGAAAGGTTAGTAAAAGGATTTTAGGGGAAATGTCAAATATTGGTTGAATTAGATCTTATAAAAARATGTTTTAGTGTTAAACCACATGTTACATATTAAATAAATGAATGTTGTGAGAGTTGTGTAACGTTGGTAACTGACTGAGGAGTGAACCCTGAACGTTRTTGTTGCCTCGGGCATTTATGAGAAACAATCTGTGTTAGAGCAAACAAATGCGTTGTTCATTTTATCATGTTTTTCACAGACATGACTCATTTTACTTCTGTCTTTCAATTTCAACTTACTTTATAAGCCCAAACAAACATAAATTTTTTAAAATAAATAAATAAATTTGTGTTTGGTTGATTATTTCCTTGTTGTAACAACGCTTCTTGGCAATAATTCTTATACCCTTGGAAAGCCTGTTGAATTCCCTTTGAAATGGTGCCACATTTGTAAGGAACATGCGTTTGCTGGATGAGCAGTAGAGCTGAGTATGTGGGTCAAAACAATGCCAAGTCAGCTTATTTTGCTGTTGCTATTGACACTTGTTTTGAGCTCCTGGTATCCAAAGGCYCTGCCAGTCAGTTGTCATTGATAAGATTTCTTACCAAAAAGTCTTGTTACAACAAAGAAATAATCTAACAAACACAAATTTCTTCTTTGTAGTTTTTTTTTTGCCAAGTATATATTTCTTAATCAGTCGTTCCATGAACTTTACTGTAAGTGAATTGAATGCACCCAAAAATCATACCTCATGCATGAACCCACCTGTAAATGTTGTGAGGGACGAAAACCTCACTGGCGGGGAACTCCAGCACCTCTTTCACCGGCCGGACATTTTTCTCTGCCACAGGTATGAGCGGGATGAGCTCTGTGGACAGACAGGCCTGCGGCATGTCGTGGAGAGGAGACATGTCCAACTTTATGCTACCTGGAAATCACAACATGAGAATTTTACACAACGTTTTCAAAACTGGGGGTTGTATTTGTGGGCCGAAAAAGCTGTTTTTTAAATTATTTTGTGTAAACCAAAGAGGTCCGGCGTGAACGCAGTGGAAAATAACCTGGTATCATCTTGGGTCGTCTTTGTGGGACTGAGGTTTTCTTAATCTCTGAAAGGAATTTCAGCAAATCCTCATCACTTAGACGATCTCCCTCCTGATACAAACACACAGATTTTATTTAAAGAATTAAAACAAAAGGTCAAGAATGGAAACAACTAAGATAAAGAAGCACATTTTTACAGCAATGACTTTATGGTAGAATAATCACAAAACCTCACAGAATGCATTGTACTGTGGTTCTGCTCAACAACATACAAGGCCGAGTTGAGACMTCAGGCTCGCCCGTGACTCAAATCTGATTTTGTCTCTTTTGGGAAATATTTCACAGATTTTTTTTTTGCCTRGGTGTGAAGAGGACGGTCTGACCTGTTTAAAGATGGTGGAGATGGTGATGGTCGCCGGCTTGAAACCAGAAACGTTACAAAACTGATCGTCGATGGTGCTGAAACGCTCCGAGTTTCTCCTGGGAAGCTGCGCTTTACGGTCAATGCTGCTGGATTTACCTTAAGACAATAAATAAATAAATAAATAAATAAATAAATAAATAAATAAATAAATAAGCCAAAGGTCAAATTACAGACATTCAGCTGGAGGGATGCATTGTATCTGATCTGTTCCAATTCATCTTATCCAAACTGAATTGCTTATATTTTGATATGAACTGAACCTGCTGCTTTTAAAAATGACTTTTACATAAAAATCTTATGCAACCCYAGTATTTCTTAGAGTTGAGTCTTATGAAGATAAATTAGTCTCACAAAGATTTAAGCATGCATGAGTGCTCAGATCTGTTCCCCTGTGAATGTGACTTTTGGGACTTTCACACGTCTAAAATATATTACCAGAAAAATAAATTGTCTRGGTAGTTTTGACACAAAACAACCCACCCATTTAGAGATATTTATGTCAGCTGTTTAATCCCCAAATTTAGCATTTTTGTCTTTTGGAAAAATGACCTGAAAAATATCATTTTGAGTAGTTTACTTCAAATCTACAGTCCCCGCAAAAATATATTATAAAAGGTTAAAATATTAGGTTGTTCTTCTATAAAAA